AAAAAAAAAAAAAAAACGATTTCTAATCCTAATCAAACCATCACCCCGTTGTAGCAGCCAAATGTCAGTCACGCATCCCATAGTGAAAGATCAGCTAAGCATGAACCGGAACATCCCAGCACACATGAACTTGACAATGAGAAGCTAGAACTGGTGAAAGGCACATACACATAGAGGAGAGATCAACTGAGCATGAACCGGAACATCACAACATACATGAACTTGACAATGAGAAGCTAGAACTAGTGAAAGACACATACATAGAGGAAAGATCAACTAAGCATGGACAAGAACATCACAACATACATGAACTTGACAATGAGAAGCTAGAACTAGTGAAAGACACATACANTTGACAATGAGAAGCTAGAACTAGTGAAAGACACATACACATAGAGGAGAGATTAACTAAGCATGAACCAGAACATCACAACATACACGACCTTGACAATGAGAAACTAGAACTAGTAAAAAGCACATGCACATAGAGAAGAGATCAACTAAGTATGAACCAGAACATCACAACATACACGAACTTGACAATGAGAAGCTAGAACTAGTGATGAACACATGCACATGGAGGAAGATCAACTAAGTATGATCCGAAACTTCACACACATATGAACTTGACAATGAGAAGGTAGAACTAGTGATGGACACATGCACATGGAGGAAAGATTAACTAAGTATGAACCGGAACATCACAACATACACGAACTTGACAATGAGAAGCTAGAAGTAGTGATGGACACGTGCACATGGAGGAAAGATCAACTAAGTATGAACCGAAACTTCACACACATATGAACTTGACAATGAGAAGGTAGAACTAGTGATGGACACATGCAGATGGAGGAAAGATCAACTAAGTATGAACCGGAACATCACAACATACACGAACTTGACAATGGGAAGCTAGAACTAGTGATGGACACATGTCCATGGAGGAAAGATCAACTAAGTATGAACCGGAACATCACAACATGCACGAACTTGACAATGAGAAGCTAGAACTAGTGATGGACATATGCACATGGAGGAAACATCAAATGAGTACGAACTGGAACATCACAACACACATGAACTTTGAAGAAGCTTAGAACTAGCGGAAAGCACATGCACATTGAGGAGAGATCAACTAAGTATGAACCGAAACACCACAACATACAGGAACTTAACAATGAGAAGCTAGAACTAGTGATGGACACATGCACATGGAGGAAAGATTAACTAACTATAAGCCGGGATATCACAACATACACGAACTTGACAATTAAAAGCTAGAACTAGTGATGGACACATGCACATCGAGGAAAGATCAACTAAGTATGAACCGGAACTTCACACACATATGAACTTGACAATAAGAAGGTAGAACTAGTGATGGACACATGCACATGGAGGAAAGATTGAGTAGCCGACGCAAGGAGGGGGGTGATCGTGCCAGTGCGCGCCTGTTGTAGGCGCGAGACGATGACGATGTGGAGGCTGAGGATGCCATTTACGACGCGGATGACGTGTGGGCAGGGAAGGACATGATTGAGGAGATTGCAACCGCAAGGAAGGGCAAGGAGAAGGTGCACGATGACCGACTCGTGTCTCGTGTGTGGGATAGGTGGGGGAGCCTTGATGATGTGGAGGACCTCGACGGGTTCCTGCATGGCTCCAGACACACCCTTCATATCATGAAGGACAATGAGGAGTGTCGCAGGCCGGAGGGGGGGAGCGGACGGGTTGATGAGGGTCATCATGTGGACACAGGCTTTCATTCGACTGCCTTTGACGGCGAGGCGGGCTGCAGTGCCGCTCTGACGTAGGGGCGACACACACGCCTCAGATGTCAATGACCCCCCCTACCACTCCGTTGTTTGGTATGCCTCTTGATGATGGGGCAGGCGAGCGGCCTTCAGAGGGACCTATCCCAGGGAGTGTAGCAGAGGAGCAGCGTCCCGATGTTGGGAAGCTGGAGGCATCTCCTGGCAGGGAGGACCTGTGTCCCGATGTGGAGCAGGAGGCAGCTGCCATGGAGGCAACTCCCGACATGGAGCAGGAGGCAGCTGCCATAAGCCATGGACAGCCGTGTCTCAGTTAGGAGGAGATGGGGACAGGTCACACCGAGCATGCCTCCCCTGCACCCTCCATCTCGGAGGCGGCCCCTGTTATCGGGGAGGGCGTGAGAGGATGTGAGCCCGATCAGTCGTGCGACATGGAGACAGGTACAGACACGACTGCCCCACATCCACAGTCTACAACGGGGCGAGATGTTATGGCCCATCTGGGCAATGAGGCAGAGACAGAGAGAGAGGTCCATAGTTCAGCACGTGGCTCCCGCATCGGTTCAGCCCCCTCGCACATTTGAGAGCATAGAGTCACAGAGAGCGTCGACGGCGATGATTGGAGGGGGCCTTGTCGCTGCGACGTCTTCCACCACACTTCGACCCACGTCATTCTATACTGCTCCTCCGCTGCCCGTCTTAAAGCATTCTGTTGTGGTGCGGGGACCCGGATTGACTATCCCCCTGCATTCATCTTCTCAAGAGGAGGCGACTGCAGTTGGACGATTATCATCATCCACGACCAGTGTACCTGCACGTTCACACGATGGCAGTGGTGATTCATCGATGCCTCGACTTGCTCACGATCATTCACAGCCTTTGCGGAGGGGATCGGTTGATTTATCTGCGCTTCCTCCACTGCCCGCCCGAGTGTCATCTGTCATTGTTGACAACACCGCGACGAGAGGGAAGAAGAGGAAGATCGCTGATACATGTGCGGTAGAGCATTCACGAGCACAGAGACCACCAGGGCGAGGTAGACCGCGAGGGCACCCCCCAGGGGGTCGATCAGGCAGAGGTAGAGGGAGGTTGGGTGTCGCTGGAGCGACGGAGAGGCTGTTGGGTTCATTGGGTGCCATCGGTGGAGGTTCACCATCACCCATATCCGCAGACGGAGTGAGGACTCGATCCCGTGCTGTTGTGGGGAAGAGGACGCGTGTTCATGTTGAGGATAATGACGGCACCGATGAGCAGGTCAGCGGTGACGGGTCTGAGAGCGAGTACGAGGCTCCACCGCAGCCCTCATGTGATGATGACGACGATGACGCCGGAGGGGATGATGATGATGCTGCGGTAGAGGACGAGACACTGGTTGATGGGTGCTGATGTATTTTGACTCTTTTTGAGAGAGAGAGAGAGAGAGAGAGAGAGAG